ATGGTAACGTCAAGGACGCGCGTGAGGGACAAATGTCTTGGAAGGAGTTCGAGGCCGAGGTCGACGAGTTTCAGTGGGACCAGGCTGTTTCAGATAAACTTCTGAGTTGCGGGACCCATGAGCCGGCGTCTGAAATCCTGTGCATAGACTGGGAAGCGGGAAAGCCTATGTATAGTGACACCGGGGATTTTCCTGCCGCGACATTCGACTCCTCTCGTTTTATCCCAATACAGCTCCGTACAGTTTGGCAGAAAGTTCTACAGGGAACGGTACAGACTATTTCTGCCTCTGAGAGCTTTTGGGGTCACCCCTTAGCGGCGCCTTTCGCTGCGCTGCGGGGCAAAGCATGTAATTAGAGCTGCGTACTCCTCTGAACGCCTCGAAATGAAAAAAATATATATGTTTGTCTCTCTCGCTCTCTCTCTCTCTCTCTCTCTCTCTCTTTGTCCGTGCGAAGGAAGCCCTTGTTGGCGGCCGCTGTGGCGGCGGCGGCCTTTGCCTCGAAGTCCGTGGGCGAGGCCACGAGTCTAAGTGTGGTGAGGTCTGGGGTCTAAGGGGGCTTTGGATTCTGGAAGGATTTTGGGGACAGAAGAAGCTTAGGGGTTCAGGGTTTTTTGGGCTTTGTTTTTGTTGTTGGGTGGGTTTCTTCGATGCTTAGGCCCTAGAGTTGGGCCGGGTTCAGGCCCGCGGGCGCTGCAGCTGCGCAGCCGCGCCGGCGGAGCGTGTGGTGCCCCTGGAGACGCGCGCGGCGCCGGCGCCGGCCGGAGACCCTCGAGCCGAAGGTCTCCGCACGGTGGTGCTCATCCACGGCCTGGATTCCTGGTCAGGTGGGGTGTCATCGGGTTTGTTCTCGCTTTTCTGCGCCTGGGCCTAGCGCATTAAGTAAGGGCGCGCTTGTGGGTCGACTGGACTGCAGGCACCTGGCAGGGTTTGATGGAGGAGCTCGCCAGGCGGGGAATTCGGACCCTGGCCGTGGATTTGCGAGGCTGGAGCGGAGAGAGGACGGAAGTACACTATAGAGTTTCCTAGTTTCCTTTCGTACCCTTTTACGTTCTTTTGGGAAGTCGTCGTGTCATTCCATGTGAGAGGCCACGGTGAGTCGCCCTTGGGAGACCCCAAGGATTTCTCCCCGCAGCAGTTGGCAGCCGACGTGCGCGCCACCCTGAAGGCCGGGGGGGTGGGGGGCCGGAATGTACAGCTGCAGGAGTTTGGTCCAATCTTGGAAGAACTAGGCAGCCGGCGTGTTGGAGCTCCCTGTCGTGCTTGTGGGGCACAGCATGGGCGGGCGGATCGCAATGCAGCGCTCTTCTCAGCAGCCCTCGGCCTGCGTGCATTTTTTGGAGCTTCGGTCCCCGAGGTATGCGGCGGACTATCCCGAAGACCTCTCCGTTCTGGTGATCGAAGATATGGTAGCCTGGCTGGAAGATTTTAAACACGCCCAAGAATGCGGAGTGAAGCAAGCAAGGACTGCGCTCGTCGCGTTTATCCCAAGCTGGAAGGGGAGGAGTTGGAGAAAAGACAGACTTTCTCCCGCGACTTCCCGTCTTGGGCAACCCAGCTGCAGTCCATGTCAATGTGAGTCCACACGACGTCGATGCCGAGAGCTCAGGAGGAGGCCAAGAAAGAGCTGATGTCCTTCGGCTCCTGGCCGGAATGGCATTCGAGTGCTTTCCAAGGGGAAGGGCATCAATCCTTGATGGGCTCGGAATGGTTTTTATTTTTCGCTCAGGCTATGATGCGGAGCGCGTGGACGGCTGGTGGACCAGCTCCACACCTCGCGTCTACACTCGAGGAACGAAGGGCGTCCCGCGCCCAGAGTGACCGAAAGAGTCTTCTGCCCATAGCGGCTTGCCTGTGTTTCGGGCATCCTTCTGCGCGCCCGGGCACCGCGACAAGAGAGCGAGGTCTGGAGCTGCATCAATCCGCACGCCCAGTATCTCGCGAAGCAGACCGTCCTCAACTCCGAGCAAGGTCCGAATACGTCCGGATCGGATCCATCCTCTTCAAACGCTCTGTTGCCAGAAAGTACGCAGGTTACGAGTGCTGGCAGAAGATCGCAGCGCTGACCCAGTCCGGGGTGGCGAAGTTCCCTGTGCACGTCTGTGTGGCAGGCCTGGCACGTTCTGCGGGTTTCGCCCCCCTTTTCGCCCTTCCTTGCCCTGAGGCCCTTCCGGAACGGTCTGCAAATGGGAGGCGCTGCCTGGCGGCTTGCACGAGCCTCCGGCTGGATTTCTACTGGGAGAAGGGGAGAGAGAATCTTTGGATTTTTTTTGGGGAGATTCTGTTGTGAGGACATGGGCTCCGTCCTTCCGGCTCTCCAGCTCCACGAGTTCCCGACGGCGGACCACTCGATTCACAACACGGACTCTCGGCGAAGCCGTTACAAGCGGCGTGACCACAAGCATCTGCAGCCTTCCGCCTTAGGCGCTCCAGAGCTTGGCAGACTTCTTGGAGATGTGGCAGAAGCAGCCTGCCGACGCGGACGATTGATTAAAACACAGTGCTGGCATGCTGTCCGCTGACGTACCCCGGGCTCCTCCCTTCCGCCCGCGATTCTTTGCAGCGATTCCGCGCAGGTGCCGGTGACCGGATACCGTGTGTATGTCGGCGGCGTGGATCAACCGTACACGCCCGGAGCTTAAGAACATAGGTCATAGAGTTCAGATGGTGGTTCCACTGCCTCTGTGTCTCCGTAGCCAGGCTGGCTCGAAAGCCGTGACATGAAAGGGAGGAGTTTAGTGCCCCGTTAGTAGACTCCTGGTGATGCGGCTGGCACGGCCTTTGCGCGTGGCTTTGATCGGGGACAGCTGGGTCACGGACCTTTATCAGAAGAGCGATGGGAATCGGGTGCGCAAGTCCCACACTGCTTGGGCCATGGAGGCGAGTTTGCGACAGCGACTGGGGCAGGGTGTACAGGTGGACTTCATTTTCGCAGGATTCCCAGGCACAAGGTCGAGGGCGCTGCTTTCAATGTGCTGGCTCTGCCGGCTTAGGGACATGGCCAAACTGGCGAGACTGGGCTATTCCTGGAAGTACGACCCAGCAAAAGCCTTGAAAGAGCAGCGCCTCCTGTCACTCTCTGAGCAGCCACAGGACGAGGACCTAGATGTCGCTGTCATCTGCGTGGGGAGTAATGACCTCTACGACCAACCCTCTTCTGAAATCCTCCGCACACTCTCAGAACTCTGCAAGCACCTGGAATTTCGAGGTGTGGAGGTCTGCCAGTGTTCCCTGTATCTGCACGAAACCGAACGCCAGGCATGGCCAGAAGCTGACCAGACTTGCCACCAAGTGAACGAGACTCTGAAAGGGAGCAGCTGCATCGACCTCGATGGCTTCTTGCAATCCTTGAGTCCTCAGCATTGGCGTGCCGCTGCCGCAACAATTTCTAGAACGTCCTTGCTGCTTGCATCATCCCCTCTCCTGCCGCAGTCTCCCGCCTCTTGAGGTGATGAGCACCATCTTGCGGACAGCGGCTACAAGCTCCTGGGGCAGAAGCTTGCCGGTGCCGTGCAGGCGGGCGACGCTTCGGCACTCCTACTGGTAGTCCTATAGTCCTCCTTACATTCTCCGTGTTCTCTTCCGCGGCTTTGCAGGAGCGCTTCTGCTCTCCGCCGACCTTCATTCCCAGACGCTGTCCGTACCTGCTCCACGTGGAGGAAGTCGGCGAGCGCACCTTTGTGGGAAACCTGGTCGCAGGCCTCCTTGTTAAAATGGTTTAGTGAACTACTTATGGACACTAAGACCCGCTCTGCGTGCGCCGGGCAGGTACCTATGCAAAGCAGTGGTACGAACACCACGGCAAGCCCATCTACTGGAAGAAAGTGGTCACAGAGCCGGAGGTTTGCCTCTTCTTCTGGGACGATCGCAATGATCGGGGGGGCGTCTCCTGGCAGGGTTGGTGGCTGGGGCGCCTCGGCCACGCGAATACGGCTGTCGTGGAGCATCCAGGTTGGGCCTTTTGCCCCGGTGACTCCACGGAACCGCCGAAAAGCGGATGGATCGAGGTGCGCTCCGACAGTGCTCTGCGGCTCCGCATCTGGGACACACAGCCGCCACAGCCACTCTGCCAGGACTCCCAGCAGAACCAATGGCCCTCGCAGCAGGGCCCCTTGTCACCTTGGAAAGGGTCGCCAACGAAGCGAACCCGCCACGAGGTCTGGCACTAGGTCTTTTGTAGGTTCAAGGTGCTGCGCCCTTCGCGAAGTGAGCAAAAAGGCTGCTGCCCGAGCCCCCAACCGTCAGCCTTCCGTGGGCTAGCTTTCTCCCGACCGTCCCGACCCCCTGCACACCCCTAAGCCCCAAATGGTTAAGCCCCCTACTAAACCACCATAAGCCGACTACTGGGCCATGGCCCAGTAGCCCCTGCTGAATTTCTCTCAGGACCTGGGGTGAGACCAACAGCTTGACCACCACGGCCTTCGTGGACCGCCTGGCTGTGGGAGGCACACGGTGAGACGGACTTTAAAACTAAACAGTGCTTACGGAAGAAGCGTGTTTTGGAGGTGGATACTCGTGTGTTCGATTTAGATTATGTGTCGAGGAGTCCCTTCATTGAGTAGTAGAAGAAGAGGGTGTCTTCCAAGATCCCGCAAGGAAACCCTTGCATGCCGGCCTCGCAGCCTTAGTCGGGTCTCAAGACGAGGCGTCGACTCACTTTTGTTCCCCCCTCCCATGGAACAACCAAGCCCCAGGTCTCAAGCGGGCTCTTGAACCCAATTGCTCCGCATCCAAGCCCGTGTACGGCTACTGTACGACAGAAATTCGAGTCACTAGCCGCAACCCCTAACATTTTTGATTCCTTCATAATGTGCACGCCTGCCGAACGGACGACCTCACACATGGTGATACCTCAGCCCGTTATCCTGGATAGATTTGCAAGCCGATGAACCAGACACGCCAGCATTATCAATGCCCTGGTTCCCAAGCCGGCGGGATCGGACGTGAGCCGCCGCCTTCGCGCCATGCTGCGGCTGGTGGGCCTCGCATGGCTAAGCCAGGCCTTATAAGGGGACCTTGGCTTGGGGGAGTTTTTTTTTTTGGAGCTCTGGGATCATCTGAGAGGCTGCCGAGATGAGCTCCTGGGACTACACGCGCCAGGCCAGGTCTCGCGATGCCGCGACGAAAGAATGCCCCGCGATCCGGTCACGACATGGGGTGCGCGTTTTACAGTGCGTTTTGTGTTATTTGTTGAGGACAGTTCCTGGGGGCAGCTCTGCGTCGGCCACTTTCAAAGCCCGATCGACATTGAGCCCAAGCATGCGGAGAAGGGCACCTTGCTTGGGAAGAGAGGTTTTGACTGCCCTGTGTCGGATTTACAGGGCCTCGAGATCCGTTAAAAAATCTCAGGCGACTTCGAGATCCGCATGCTCTACAGCCCTTTGAGGCTACAGGACAGCGTAGACTTCACAGCGACATGCTCACATTGCACAATATTGCAGACAGCCCATCTCTTGCCCAAGCCGCCAAGCCTCGCGTGGCCTCGCATCGAGGATGTGGAATCGGCGGGCGTGGACCCGGACGGCGTGCCTCGGATCCGCTTCAAAGCAGGGCGATCCGTGGGGAAGGCGGCACAGAACAGTGCGACAACTCCTCTCCTAGGAACGCCAGGCTACGCCAGGCAGAGCTTCTCGCTTCGTCGCAGGTGCAAATCGGCCGTGGCTACGGGGACTTCGACGAGTACTCGCTCTCGGCCATCGAGGCCCATAAGATTGAGAGCTGAGAGCGGTCCGTTTGCCCGCGGTTTCCTGCTGCAGGTCCATGCCCCCAGCGAGCACACGCTGCGCAAGGCCAGCTGGGCCCTGGAGGTGCAGCTCTGGCACGCCGGGGTCTCAAAGACACAGGTGTCGGCATGATTAGAATCCCATCTGCGACGGGATTCTGAGGACCCCATGCCCGTGAGCCGCACGGACACCCTCCTGCAGCACACGCAGCAGGTCCTCGAGGATCCCCCCTGATGCATCAGCGAGATCTGCTCCAAGCGGCTCTGCTTTGCGAGTCGCTCGAGGCCTTGCAGGACTCGGACAGCCGCTTCGCAGCGCTGGAGCGCTCCCAGGCTGCCATGCACTGCGAGTGTAGAAGCGTAGTTAAGCTGGTGAAGACAGGGAGGGCGCCTCGTCTTGGCGCAGGCCACACTTTCGAAGCAGCTCAACGGCGAGGCCACGCCCTGGACCGCCAACTCCGAGGGCCGGAGCCTCGCGGAATCCCGCGCGGCCCGAATCGGAATCGCTCGACGCGACAGAAGCTCCGTGAAGCTCCACTGAGGCTCCCGCGCATCGCAGCAGGCCGAGGACTGGGTGGACGCCGCCAAAGCGGACATCGCCTCCGCCCGGGAGCCCCGGTTCCGGCGAAGGGCGAAGCTGCGCTCCTGATCGTTTTTCTATCCTTCGCCGCCCAGGTCAGCACGCTGCTCCAGCAGGACATGAAGGCGGAGTGGCGGTCTCCGAGCCCTCTGCCCCATCAGTCTACGGGCTTGATGAGTTTATGAGATGAGATGCAAGCAGTCGCAGTGTCAAAAGCGACAGACAGATCTCTTTTTTCTCGATAGAGAGATCCCTTTGACGCGCCAGGGGGTGACCCAGCATGCCGACAGGCTGCAGGAGGAGGCAAGGCGCCCCAGGGGCAAGGGAAGAAGCCGGCTAAGCAACCTGAGCCTGGACTTCGAGACCTCAGGTCGAGAGCCTTGTCACGGCTCAGAAGCGTCGCTTTGCAGGCTTTCGAGTGGCTGCCGCCCCAAGCAAACAATAACAAGCAGCGTGCAGCTTTAAGCGTGAATGCTTTAAGTGGCCACCACCCGGTTCTTCCCAGGCCCTGTCCCTTTTCGTGCTCCGCGCCTCTCCAGTGTTTCTGGGGGAGATGAACGGCACGGCCACCTCGTTGGTGAGGCACAGTCAGGCCGCAGCTTCTTTAGCGGGGAGCAAAGCGTCAGCCGCCGCAGGTGGCTCTCCCAGGCCCTGGCCGCCAACAAGGACCCGAGCCAAAGCCAGCCTTGCAAAAGTAGCCCAACTCAAGTAACTCAGTAGCCCTATACCCTATACCCTAAACCCTAAACCCTAAACCCTGAGAGCTTAAAAAAAAAAAAAGCCATGAGAGCCGCCCTTAGAGCCCTTAGAGGACTCGGACAGCGCCGCCTTGGAGCTCGAGGCCGTGATCGGCAGCCGCAAGGACCTCTACAGCCGCTCGGCTCAGCGCTCGAAGGAGACTTCGAAGCCTCTTTTTAATAGAATTCTAACAGCCCGACTTGTTCGGAAAGGGGCACTGGAACTTAATATTCGAGGATATGATGTACAATGTAGTATTGTTTGGAAACCTCAAAGCCTCCTCGGAAGGCTACGAAGGGAGTGTCCCTCGGCCTCCCTGCACGCCCAACGTGCGCTGGTTCGTGCTGGGACCGGGCCTCAAACTACCTCGAGCCTCGAGCTGTAACGTCGCGATGTGTTCGAGCATTTGCTCGGAGAGGTGATCCGCAGCCTTCCGATATCGAGCAGCTTTGGCCTCAAAGCACGTTCAGAGCTTCCGTAGCTGGAGTGCCCCGCTTTCGGAAGGCTGTCGTTCCTCCTGAAGGAGACGCAGCTCGCAGGCAGATCCAAAAGCGAAGCCATGCCTCCTGCATTGCTTGCATCCTCCGGCTGTTGTGAGAGGCCGCGTGCACGGCAACGCACGGCAGGCCGAGCGCGAGTCGAGCGTAGACCCCCTGGCCCCTTGCTTTGCGCTTGCAGGTGCAGCCCTTCGGTCCGTCCAGAAGGCAGGGCTCCCCGGTAGGCGTTGGATGCCCTTTGTAACTTGATGGCGGCTCAGCGGGAGGCTACACGTCGTCCAGACAGACTGGAAGGTGCTCATCGCAACAGACGGGATGACAAGTTCCGCTCCTCACACCTTGTTGGTCACATCGTAGATCACCCCAACAGTCAACTTTCAGAGCTCTCCTTTTGCTCACTCTACATATGTTCCCTTGATCTCACTTGCATACCGGAGCGCGCTTGGGCCCGAAGAAAGCTGTGAATCTGAGTTTGGTAGCGGAGCACTGAACGGCCCGCGTAAACCCATCGCCATAGGCTGCCGAGGAGCTACGTGCTTCTGCGCTGCGCTCCTGCGGCGCCACTTTTCAAGACGGTCTACGCAAGCTCCTCCTTGAAAGCGTTTTGGCTGCTTCTGATCAAGACGGGCATTGCTGTGCCCAGCGGCCAGACCTACTTCGTGGAAGAGCCGGGTTACGACCAGGGAAAGTTGCAAGACACTTTCGTGAATTCGTTTTACCCGTTTTCTGAGATCAAGGGTGCTGAGTTCTTGAAGAACCTCAGCCACGTGTACTACGACCTCGACCTCCTCCGGGACTATTTCTACGAGGAACAACTTCGAGTCCTTTCGACTCCTTCGCTTTCTCCAGCCTCTCTTTGGCTACTTTCTCCTGGGCCTCTTCACTGGGGCTACCTTCTCCTGGACCACTACAAGTTCTACGAGCAGCTCTACTACCACGTGCAAGCAGCTACAATGGCGGCTCCCTCTTCGGTGCCTAACTCCGGGGTGTCCATTCATGAGTTCAGAAGGGACATACCCCCAGGCTGGGCTCCTGGGCTGCCTGATTACCCACTCAAGCTGTTTTTCGATCGCCTGAAACTTTGGTACCAAGTATACGATGGAGCTGACGAACAAGTTGGTCCCTTGGTAGCCGGCAGGCTACAGGGGAAAGCACAACGCCTGGGGCTCACCTTACGACTGCCTCGACCAGATGGTTCCGTTGATGTTGGAGGCGAAGCACTCTCCAGATTGGCAGTCGAAGAAGTACGTGATCCTACAAACCCCGCGGTGCTGCTGCAGGCACACATCCCATCCGGGATACAGGCGCTGTGCAATGCCTTGAAGGATGCCTTCGGCGTTTCGGACCAAGAGATGGTCTCCAGGTCTTTGGAGGACTTCTTCGAGTTCCGAAGGGGAAAGCTTTCATTCCAGGAGTACGCGATCGAGTGGGACTACAAGCTGGAGGAGGCGACCACTCGGTCAGGACTCATGATCAACGAGGTTGCGAAGTTTTACCTGTTCTTCAAAGGGGCCGGTCTTCCGGCCAAGTTCGTGGAGGACATCAAGATGCAGTTGCAGGGTGACATGCGGATGTTTCAGGATGCCCGGACTCTCGCCCTGAGGATCATCAGTCGGAAGGAAGAAGCCGGCCAAGACGTCTTCTACGAGGACGAGGACGAGTATGTGCCGGACACCTTCGACTGGTACGAGGAAGGCGAGACACTTTGGGATGAACCCTGGAGCAATGATGCCTGGTATGAGACAGAATGGCACTGGGTCGGCGACTCCGACTATGACTTCGAGAACTACACCTCCGACCATGATGGAGCCGGTCAATGGCAGGATGAAGCAAGCTACGCTGGACAAGAGGTCGATGAAGCTGAGCATCCCAGCTATCATGGCGAAGATGCTGGCTCTTCCTCTTCGA